GGAATATATCTAGGATCTTTGTATATCTGTGCAGAGATAATGTTTCCTTTTTTTCTCTGTTTTCTGTTTCATCAAAATTTACTTGGTTGTTTTTTTTTCTTCTTTTTTTTTAGATTTAGGTTTCGACTAATCGGATTAATTCTGATCCATCAGTTATCAAAATAGTCCTCAACTAATTTAGTAACCAATAATCGTTATCTGGAGTATAGAGATTGTAAAACATGCCTGTAGCTGAAAGAGCAACTCATTTAGAGCAGTAATTATATCAAAATTGTAAAAAAAAAAAAAAGATATAAACATTTAGCATTTAAGATGGGGGGAAAAAATTGTCTGTCACGATGCTCTATCTAGAACTGAAGTGGAAAAGTTAGTTTTACCTGGTTTAGTTTTGTAAAAAGTCTGCTTTAAGGATTTATCTTTTTCTATCAAATTATTAATCGGTTGATCCAAAAATGATTGATTAATCATTCTGCAAAATAATCGTTAACTGCAGCCCGAATTTAGATTCATCCATGTTCTTTTGAAATCTGACCAGATACAAAAAAGTAGTTTCCATGTGGAGCAGTGGATGTCTACAGCTCCTTTAGTCACCATGGACCACTCTGATGCTTTAGTGATTAAACTTCTCCATTGTAGGTGTACAGGCATGTTTTGGTGGATTTGCCATACTCTGTTCAGTTTATGGATTTTGGGGCATAAGTGAAGTGAAAATCTACCTATTAAAATGTTTGGTCAAGGTATTTCTGTTAACCTTGGATTAACACTTCTCAGCTTCAGCGTAAAACAACATGAACTGTAGCGCTTGTTTATGGATATTAGGATAAAACCAAAATGCTAGTTTAAGTGTTGTTGGTTTTTTTTACATATGAGCAAATGCGCCTGTGTAGCATTTGATTTTTGTTTCAATGAGAACAGACGTCTGCTTTTAAAAAATCAGAGATTTTCTTTGGAATCTGTAGAAGGAAAAAAACCGAGACATGAAAAATGGCTACAAAGATCTCAACTCCTGGCATTTTTCTTTTTGATGGAAAGGCTTTAAAAAAAATTATGAAAATATGAAATGGAGGTCCACTGCCTGGCTTGTCTTCCAAAAAGGTAATAATAAGCAAACTTATGTCTTTCACTGCCTTAGGTTCCTGGAAAAGCTCTCTGATTGCAAAAGTTTCTTTGTTAAAACAAATGAGTTTGTGTGCCTGGTAGAAGACCAGTGCTTAAGCTAAAATTATAAAGTATCAAACCAAAACTCAAAATGTGCCTTTGGATTAAACATGTCTGCTTTGTGTTAACCTTCAAGCATTTCAGTTGAAGCCAATGCATTATTTGTCACCACCTAATGTCTGTATGAATTCACCACAACCTAAGCATGAACTGACCACAGTATATTATAACATCCTATTTTTATTCCAGTTAACTAAGAGAAAGGTTGTAAAAAAAAAAAATGTGCTATTATGTTTTTCCTTTTTTATTTAGACCAAAACTGATGAAGTGTTTTAAAAAGATTGCATTGAATTAGCAAAAAACAAGATTCTAATTTCTGTTTTCAACTCATGACTAAGAAAGCATATTATTGCAGCCGGTGGGAAAAGTCATTTATGATTAAATCGTTAAGTAAAGAAAATAGATTCAGGCTGATCTTCATAAAATAAATTTTTTTTTCATATATTGGTTGCACAAGTATTGTCTGAGCCTGCCGGTTTATCAGTATCCTGATGACTGAGCTTAAAAGTAAAAAGCCACAAGATCATAATTTCTGTAAAAAAGATCTCAACAAAAACTGAGTGAAGCACAAAAGCATTAAACCAGTTTTGATCAAATGTTCTTAATTAGATGATTAGCAAATATAACTACTGCTAGAAGAGTTTTAGCAGTTTTCTAAGACATTCAAGTAAGTGTTTATATACAGTCACTCTATATGAAAGGAGGACCTTCATTTAGTCGACAGTCACATGGTAAGGAACAAAAGTCTTATCTTTGACCAGAAAACATCAAAACATCTTTTTTTTTTTCTGGAAAATATTACC